AGATATGGTGTTGCTTATCTCTGAGTAAATCAGAATTAGGATCTCGCTGCTGAGTCACTACTTTTGAAGAATCTGAATTTCTGTTTTTAAAATTCAGATTCAGTGCCAGGAAGCAATAGCATGAATCAGATTATTTCATGCAGCATATATTATTTCTTAAATGAATCATTTAGAATTAGAACATCTGCTTGAGTGTGGGTTTTTGGTAATTTGCAAAATAGTATACAAAAGGAAACATTTTATAGGTCATTGAGTCTTTATTATTTTTATTGCACTTCAAAGCAAAGCTTCAAAACCACGTTTTGGTTTATTTTGATAATGAACTTGCAAAATATAACCCTTTCAAAGACAGATTATGCTCACCAAGCCTCTATTTTAAGATCTAATAAACATCAGAAGTCTGAGACCAGAAATAAAGAAAAACATCTGGGCACTCAAAACAGCCCTGATTCCCTTGGCTCAGATCAATGTTTCTTCTTCTTAGCCAATTCCTGTTTACAATGTATTTAGTGTGCCTCAATCCACAATAACCAATGGGATGATCAGGGGAAAACTATGTCAACAATTTCCCCCCTATGTTTAAACTTCTAGCTATTTTAAAGGGATATTGTCATGGATTTTATTTTGCCATGTTGGACTTTGGAGTTTGTTTATTTATTTTATTTATTTATTAGATTTCTATCCCACCCATCTAAAGCAAAAGTCTACTCTGGGAGGTTTACAAATTCAAAAACAATAAAACCAATAAGCGTATACAGTATTATAAATCGAAGATGGCAAAAGTATAAGAAGTTAAGATATGGCAGGAGGGAAAGCCTGCCCAAATAGCCAGGTTTTAAGTTTGTTCCTGAAAACACCCAGAGAGGGAGCCAGGCGGATTTCTACTGGCAAGTTGTTCCAATGGCGAGGGGCCACTGCCAAGAAGGCACGGGCTTGTGGGTTTATGGGAAATATCTCTGGAATGTCACTATCTGGGGGATTAATAGTTTTATATTATGTGTATATTGTTTGTTACTGTTATTTTAATGTGTTACTGAGCTGAATGCTGTGGGCATATGTAGCAGTAGCTCCCCAATAGATTGGTGGGATATAAGTATAATAAATAAATAAACGAACAAACAAACTACATATTACTGTAGGAAGCCTGGTCTTCTCTTTTTCATTTCTTTTCTTTTGTTTGACATGGAGTGGAAGCCTTGCCCCACCCAGTGGGGGGTCTTTTGAACATCCTAGTGATTATGGGTAGAGGGAGGTATGGCGATGGCACAGTTCCTACTCATTTCAGAAGAACGGTGAACAGATATGTTTGAAGGCTGTTCACTGTTCTGGCACTGTGACCAACTGTCAGTCTCAAGGTAGTCAGATCAGCTGTCCCTCCACTCTAAATCTGATGCTGCTGAATGCCAGGTCTGTATCCAACAAATCCCAGGTATTATCCAAGACTTTATTCTGGAGGAGGATCCAGACCTGCTGTGCATAACGGAGACCTGGATGGGCAGGGAAGGCAGAGTTCCCTTGACCCTTGCCTATCCTCCTGGTTATGCAGTCCAGCACCAGGAGGGGCGGGGGGGCAACCATTGTTTATAGAAATACCGTGGAGGTTATTAGGCGCTCTTTGGTGGTGAAACCGGGTTTGGAGGCCCTCCACGTGTCGATTGGGGCCAGGGATGGTACTGGGATCTTGCTGGGTTACTGCGCTCCCTGCAACCCAACCATTTCCTTACTGGAGCTGGCAGACTTTGTCTCCGTGGTACTGTTGGAATCCCCAAGGCTTCTGGTCTTGGGTGATTTCAACATCTATGCGGAGGCAGAGGTTTCTGGTCTGGCTCTTGAGTTCTTGGAAACCATGACTTCCTTGGACATGTCCCAACATGTCAACGGCCCCACCCACGTGGGCGGTCACACGTTAGACCTGGTGTTTTCCACCGAGTAACTAACCTTGTGTCAGTTCCCTTGTCATGGTCCTAATAAAATGTAACCTCTCAGTGGCTCTCCCTCTCCACAGGGAGCAAAGACCTATTTTAATGGTCTGCCCTCGAAGGCTACTGGATCCTATAGGATTCCAGGATTCCATAAGAGGGATTCCAGCTGATCTGCCTGGCGCTCCTGTTGAGGCTCTGGTTGATGGCTGGCTTGCTGCCGCCACCAGGGCTGTTGACATGGTCGCTCCTAAATGTCCTCTCCGTTGCAGAGCTCGGCCAGCGCCCTGATTTAACTAGGAGCTGTGAGATATGAAGCAAAACAGGTGAAGGCTAGAGTGCATTTGGAGATGGTACCCAATGGATTATAATAGGAAAGCTGTCAGGATCGCAACTAACAACTACCTGGCTAAGGTGAGGGCTCCCAGTCGAGCTCACTTCACTGTCCAGATAAGCGAAGCTTCAAATCAGCAGGCGGAACTTTTCCATATAGTTCGTGATCTATCTGGAAGTGATGGGCCTCCTATTAGTATTTCACCTGACCAATTTACAGCATTTTTAAAAACTAAAGTGGAAGCCCTCCACCAGGAGCTCTCTCCTTTTTTGAACACAATAGATCGAGCAGAGACGTCCAGCGCTCTGCCTTGCCCGATGAGACTTTATCTCTTTCAACCTGTGATGCCAGATATGGTGGACAAAGCGCTCAACTGCTGTCGTGCCACCACCTCCTCCCTTAACCCTTGCCCAGCCTGGCTAATCAAAGCAGCCAGGACTACAGCAACCGAATGGGCCACAGCAATAATTAATGGGTCTCTCCAAGAGGGAGACACTCAAGGAGACACTCATTAAGCCCATTAGGAAGAAAACAAGCTGGGCGGCGGACAACACTGGCAATTATAGGCCCGTCGCCAATGTTTCTTTCCTTAGCAAAGTGGTAGAGAGGGTGGTGGCTGACCAGCTCCAGACTCTTTTGGAATGAAACCAACGCTCTGGATCTGTTTCAGGTGAGCTTCAGGCCACACCACGGTACAGAAAGGCGCTGCCTCGAGGCTGTACTGCAATGGATTCAGGAGAATGGGCTGAAGCTGAACCAGGACAAGACGGAGATCCTGAGGGTGGCTGGCCCCTCCGTTAGTGGTTTGGGAAACTCCCTCTCTTTTGGGGGAGTGACTCTCACCGTGAAGAGTAACGTTCACAGCTTGGGGGTCCATCTGGATCCAGCGCTCGCCATGGAAACCCAGGTGGTGTCAGTGGTCCACTCTGCCTATTTCCATTTGTGGCGGGTTGCCTAGTTGCATCCCTATCTTGATGCTGGGGCACTCACCACTCTGGTCCATGCACTTGTAATCTCGTGATTAGACTACTGTAATGCACTCTATGTGGGGCTACCTTTGAGATTGATGCAGAAGCTTCAAATGGTGCAGAACACAGCAGCCAGACTTCTCAGTGGGACAAGAAAATATCACCATATCTCCCCCACTCTGGCTGCCTTGCATTGGCTGCCCGTTCATTTCTGCATTGATTTCAAAGTGTTAATGATGACATATAAAGCCCTAAATGGTTTAGGACCTCGATATCTAGCGGAACACCTCCTCCCACCTACATCTACTCAAACCAGTCATTCTCACCAGGAAGGGCAGCTGAGGGGCCTAACACTGAGGGAAGCCCAGGGAGAAAGAACAAGAAACCAGGCCTTCTTGGCTGTGGCCCCTCACCTCTGGAATAATCTGCCCCCAGAGCTCTGTCTGGCTCCCTTGCTGGGTGTTTTTAAGAGCAGACTTATGACCTGGCTCTTTAGGCAGGCTTTCTCTCCTGTCATCACTTGAATTTTTTTTCTTTTCCCCATCTTGAACTATATTACTATTGTTGCTTTTTATTTTATTATATTGTTTTTATTCCATTTTATAAAGCAGCATAAATTAATGATAAAAAGGGGAACAAGGATTCCCTTTCCACACTTTCAGCAAAATCCTAGGTATATTTATTTGGAATTAGTTCCAATGACATTGGAATCTAATAAGCATTCTAATAATCCCACGACTCTTAGCATTAAGGTCTACTTTTCCAGATGCTTTTCTCCCACCAAAGCTCTGAAACCAGATACATGGGTGGGAAGGGTTGTTAAAAGAAAAAGCTACAGACAAACCCACATCTAAACATGCAGCTTTTACTTTTCCAGATGCTTTTCTCCCTCCAAAGCTCTGAAACCAGATACTGTACATGGGTGGGAAGGGTTGTTAAAAGAAAAAGCTACAGACAAACCCACATCTAAACATGCAGCTTTCCTGTGACCATAACATGTGGTTTAGACCTGACAAGACATATGAATCTTGGAAAATACAACATGGAATGGAAAATTTAAGTGGGTCAAGGCATTAAAAGTTTGATGGAAAAGTAGTAGTGGAAACTTGTACTAGCTCCTGTAAGGAATGTAGATGACGAGATGCATTAGGGAAAGTGTGCTAGAAAGGAGATGAAATAAAAATTTAGATTGGTCTGGTTTATCTGTGGCTCCTTTCTTAAAATACTTTAATGTATAGCACATGTTATTTATACAAATATGATTTAAAATATGTGTGAACCATGGCTTGACATAGAATATTCAAAATAATGTCTAACTTGTTTGATTTAAAATGAATACCTTAGATTTAGTGAAGAAAATAGTGGGCATCCAATTTATATTGTTCAATGAATTTAATTGTAATTGCTACATGTATTTCTCTTCTACTTTAACTAGCAAAATTAAGGGCTGAACCATACATTACAGATGATCTGTCATTAGAAGCGTCAAAAATGCATGAGTGTCACAGTTGCAACTGTCCTTATATCTTACATCTTGCAGTTTAGCTTGTTCTGTTTGAGATTGATATTTATGAGTTGAACATGTCCTTGTTTACAAATCTGTGCTTGGAAAATGTATGTGGAACACTAATATGGTTTCAGATTCAGTGATGTGTTACTTGCTATGTACAGTTTCATGCCAAGTGTCACAACCTATTCTACATGCTTTCTAAATACAAAAATCAATCTATACTTATTTATACAAGCATGTTTTCAGTTTATGCTTATATTTCATGGAACTTATTGGCTGTGTTTTCCAAGTGGGAGTTCAACGCTGTGTTCTCCTTCCTCGTGCTCTGTTTTTGGCTCCTTCTTTTCTCCTAGTTTCTTAAGAAACCTACACCTGGGAATACGCAGTTTTTCTCTTTCTCTCCGCTCTTTCATTCCTTCAGGTTCCTGAAAGAAAGAAAAATGAGGCAGAAAATCAAAATTAAGTTTTTCAACAGTCCAAAACAAGGTCTGAGTGTTGAAGTCCATGTGGATTCTCTGCCAATGAAAGACATTTTTTAGGTGTGCAGATTTGTGTTTTTGGACTACAACTCCCAGAATTCTCCAGCCAACATAGCTATAGCTACCTAGGGCATTCTGGGGGTTGCTGTTAAAAAAAACTCAGTTCTGTCATGCAACTGCAAATCATTTAAGAGCTTGCTTTTAGGTGGGAAGAAAAAGCCACTATGACATCATCGTTGTTGTCTCATGTTTTTTATCCTGTCTTTCCACCAAGGAACTCAGTATATCATTAATGGTGTGTTGTTGTTTTTTATTTTTCACAGCAAAGAAAGAAAGATGTAAGGGATTCCAAACCATTTAGTGAGCTTATAGCTGTGTAGGGAATTAATTGTGTCCTGGTCTTTCATATTCTACACGCCAAATTTCTGAGAAGTAACTATTTTGGATTGTAATTTCCATACTCAGCTAATCAGCATGGCTAGATAACATACTGAGTGATGGTGGGAGTTGCCATCTAAAGCAATAATTTATTCAAGCTCCATCTAATGCTAGCTGCTATACTGCTTGAGATGCTACTTTAAGGGCAGGAAGAGATGAGAGTTTGCAGTTAGAAGATACTAAAATGTAATTCCTTTAAAGGATTTTGAGGGTGTGCCAGGTAAATCATTGATGAGTATTTCAGGCAGTTGGAGATGGAAGGGAGGAGCTTGAAAGCAATTGCCAAAGCGTAGTTTATCTGATTTGTCATCACACTTAAAAACAGTCAGAATTTCATTCATCTTCTTAAATGAAATAAAATATTAAATTAAATAATTTATGTTATTAAAATGATCATAACATTTTACCGCCCGGAGAGTGGCAAAACTAATGGGGCAGTACAGAATTGGAAATGAACAAACAAACAAACAAACAAACAGTGGAAATGAACAAACAAACAAATAAAGAAATAATGGTGGTGTACGATTCAGTTGGACTAGCACATGCAAGTGCTGTACGATTCAGTTGGACTAGCACATGCAAAGCATAAGTATAACATGATTTTCATCACAGGTTTCATGGCGTTTGATAAATCGTTTCTACCTACCAAAGAAACTGAACGCTTGTTTTTGAAATGCAGTTGCCTCTCAAAAGATTCTGAAAACTCCTGGATGGAGTTTGATCGGCTGTTCGGTCCACTCGCCCCATGAGAAGAACTACTATTTGAGGACTTTCTGCATGCCTTCATGTGGCAATAGCAATTTGTCTCCTCATCTTTTCGCAATTCTTTACCATTTTTCAGATGGCCCGTTGATGGGGTCCTCGTAGAACCATGAAGTCTTGTCATATGGATGGAAGACAGCTTAGCCTGTGGAAAGAAATAATTGTTTCATACATTAAAACTATAAGTAGATCTTATACAGAAATCTTCCACAAAATATAGAACCTACTGCATGTTTCCTGTTGACGTTCAGGTTTCACAGAAAACATTTAGGTTGATTGGGGATAAAACAAGGTATAGGTTTTGAACCTTGTATTGACAGAACATTACCATGAAGGTCTATGCATAGCCCATGATTTTCAGCACTGTCCTAGTATCTTATTACAGAGCTGTGGGAGAGGCAGATTCAGCTGTACATCTGATGGTTATCTAATTTGATCCAGATCTGAATTTGAATCTTGATTAAGAAATTCAGATCTTTGTGTCCTTTATAGAAAATCAGCAAGCAGCTGCCGCAGTGATCAAAACTAACACATTTCAGAAGAGCAGTAGGGAGTTTTATGCAAAAGCAGTGTTTGCACTTTGAGAACCCCCCCTGAAGGCACTGATATCCCCCCAAAATCTAAAAGACGACAGAAAAAGAGCAAGTATTTTTTGTGTGGACAGTTATCATGAGAGCAGCATTCACAATAGTGGTCTCCTTACTGAAACAACCTGTAAAATTTCAGAAAGCTTTATGTTATCTTTTGAGTACAAGGAGAATTTGGGATGATTTGTATTCCCTTAACTCCCCCCAATTACTTTTGGGATAATTTGCATAAAATGGGTACATGTCACAGATGTTTTCCTAGGGAAGAAAGCTGCAAAAATTAAGAAGGTTAAGTTGAGGGAGGGCTCTTTACAATATTTTCACTGTTCAGGGGCAGAATAATATAATCCAGTCTGCAAAGAGAGGTGCAGACACCTGGATATGATGATAACTGAAAAACAGTTTTAATGTTATTATCTTCAACTCAGTTGGTGTCAAACTAATAGAAAGTGGGAGAGGATGGTGTGAATGTTACAGTAAGACCAGAACTTGCGGACTCAAAGTGCTGGAATATTTTAATTAGCAAATATGATGATGTTAAAGCCACCCCCTCAGGCTTGTCTGTTCCTACTGCAATCCTCATTGTAACTAAGAGAAAATTGATTTTCCTATACTGTTGTGAGTTGCCAGTTTTAATGCAAAATATTTTTATGTGTTTGGTCCCAGATGGATAGTTACGACTCTTAATTTTACAAAAGACCTGCTCTAGAACTGATGTGTTGATTTGGAGACAGTTTCTCCTTGAAGAAAATGTCCTTGAAAACCTTGGCCAGATGGTCTTCAAGGAAATTTTAGATGTCTGTCTAACATCTCTCAGAGCTCTTCAGGAAGTCCAGCAGGCCGATCCTAATACTGTATATTGGGTGTAATGCTTTGGATCACAGATGTTTCCTCTCTCTATCTTCCTGCACAACCCCACCATTCAAAGGTGCATTGATGTGAATTAATATATAGATGCCTGCATTTTTTTACTCGCCTTGGGACCATGGCTATGGTGACTCTTATTTGTAGTACTTGCGCCTCAATTTAACAATACAGTATATAGAACTCTTGGTGACGGGTCTCTACATTCTGTAGGATCATTTCCTCGTGTACAAGTCTGTCTGGGTTTTGAGATCTTTCAGGGATATTTGGTTCCAGATTTGGAATGCATCAGAACCAAAGCAACACATATATTGTATTTTCCAAACATCGCTGTGATTGCTGCTCTTCAGGCTGAGATTATTCTTTAAGAATGTCCAGGCTATTCACAGCTTTAAACTTGTGCATTTTCATATCGCCTCTCTGGTGTGCCTAGACCTATTTGTGAGCCTCTCCTCAATTTTAATAATCTCTTCTCTTTAAGAATGTCCAGGCTATTTACAGCTTTAAACTTGTGCATTTTCATATTGCCTCTCTGCTGTGCCTAGACCTATTTTGAGCCTCTCCTCAATTTTAATAATCTCTTTAGGATCAACTAAATTATGAAGTATTAACTAGAGGAATTGAGGGATCATCAAACCATCTTGCTACCTACATATCATTGCAAGAAAGTATCAGAAGCAGTGACTATATTGACAAATAATACTGGAAATGTTCTGGGAATGGGACAGTCAGATCTGCATTGCTTTCCATTCACTACACAATGTACAAGTCAGTGCAAATCAGCCTGGAGTTTCCCTCCCATAGTTTTTCCTCCACTCTTGGGGCTTATACTTTTCTGACAGTGAATGCATTCACATAGATTTAGGCAGTGTAATAGCTTCAGCCAATGTGGAAGAGCCTGTGGCTGTTCTATTTAAAGCCATTTCACTTGGCCACGTGGACCAATGAGAGATCTGGGGCAGTGGGGAATCTGGTTGCCATTTTAATCTTCTCTTCTCAAAACCTTGTGCCTGGGGGTGCTTGTTTTCATCTTCCTTTCCCATTCTGTTCTGTTTTTGCTTTGTTTTGTTTTAAATATGTGCTTGTTTTCGTCTCCCTTTCCCATTCTGTTTTTGCTTTGTTTTGTTTTAAATAATTGCTGCCCTAGCGCTAGAGTAGCTAGGTGAACAAAGGAAGAAAAAAAAGAGTGAGGAGTCAGCAGAAGGAGAGGAGGATGTTACCAATCAGCTTTATTTACAGCTTTTTAAGGTAGTTCTGTTCTAATCATGCTTCATGCACATCTGAATGGCCAGGGCAGAACTACCTTAACAAAGTACAAAGAAGGATGAGTGCTCCCTTCTCTCTTATTGAGTTTTGTGCAGCTGGCTGAAGCAAATTAACTTGCGGAAACCTGACTTCCTGGGTGTGATTTCAAAGCAGATCCATTCACATTTTTTTTCTGCTTCATAGTTGCACTTTTAACCTCTTGCAAAGGTGCCTCATCCAATAGAGACTTGATGAAAGCAAACCATCCAAGGTGTTTCTTCTTCCTGGCCTTGGGAAAGCAAAAAATGATGCTGTCTGAGGAGGCCTTAATGCTAGCATTTGCCCACAGTTAGAGCTGGTGCTACCACATCTTGAGCAGAATTCCCTGGGTTCTGCCAGGAACACCTGGCACAGTCAAAAGAGGTTCTGACTTAACATGCATGAGGATGATTTTCAAATATATTTGTGTTTCAGAACAGTAAATGTATTTTCACTATGCTAATTGCTGCAGGAACACTAGCCTGCCTCCTCTGTCATGATGAAAGTAAAATACATTAATGATCATTACATACTGTAAAATCAATTCCAACTACAGCAATCCTTTCCAGTGTTTTCTAGCCATAAAGTACTCAAAAGTGGTTTATTAGTCCCTTCTCCTGGTGGTGCTCTGGGCTTTCCCAAAGCTACAACAGGTGGCAGGGCATGTAACCCTACCAGCCACGTAGGTTCCAAGTGGTCCTAATTTGCCCCTCTCCATTACTGCTTGTATCCTAATATGGGGGGCGAGAATCATTTTTAAATTAGTGTGTGCTTTGGGGGGGGAAGGACAAATGTAGAAATTGAGGGGGCTTGATGTAATTTCTGTGTATGTTTGGCATATTGCAGCAAGAAGTGACATTGTGAATATGAATACAGAGCATTTTATATGGGACCACCTGCGAAGTACTGTCAGTGAATTGCATCTGTCATGTGCTGTGAACATTCATCTTCTCTAACAAATGGTCAAGCCCACAAATAGTTCGGTAAACTATTATGAAAACAGATCACTTGGGGTTTCAAAGGACATTAGAGCAGTTGTTGTTGTGCCACCTATATCAGAAAGCAGCAGGCAAGATGTCATGTGCAACAAAAAATTTATGGATGGAGGGAAGGGAACTGTGGGTGGGTGTTGTTATCTAGCACAAACCATTATCTGTTCATTAGAACACAACCTTCAAATGTTCCTTTCTTATGAACTTTAATAAGATAGCTAGTCAGGAAGGATGCTGGAAAATGTAGGCCAGCGTAGCATGTCCACTGTGGGCATTTCCACTGTGGGCAGAATTCCCACCCCACCCGCTACTGGGGGCACTTTAAGGCTTCTCTGCCTTTAATCAAAAAGATAGTCATTTATCGTCAGGAACAGGAACTTATATTAAAAGTCAATCTATACGTTACTCATCATAAATCCTACTGTCATAAAATGGGCAAAGCAGGCAAGCAGACAGCAGCTGCTGAATGTTACAAAAGATATCTGTTGAACAGGACTTGTGAATATGAAGTGCCTTGCGAAGAATCCATGGCAATTCTGCTTTTACCTAATTATAGAAGAGCAGTGCCTCAGCATTACTAAAAAATTGTAGTGGGAGCGCAATCAGCGTCTGATTTGATAAAGTAATTCTTAAATAATCTGTTATAAAGCAAAATGGGAAAAATAAAATCTGAACTCAGGATTCATCAAGAATTTGCTACTGAGATTTGTGCCAACTGTGTTATGCTGGAATAAAAATATCACAGGGTTCTGTCTGTTACTTTAGGCTTTAAGACAGCAATCTTAATAGATGCTTATCTGGGAGTAAATCATATTGAGCCTAATAGGATTTCCATCCCAGCAGATATACTTTCATTATGGCATATGTTAAATATTTGTATGACTTTTTAGTGAAGAGTAATCCTGTGAAGCAATCCTGTATATGACATCTGATTTTATAGGGTTCTGATAATAATGATCATCCTTTGCTTGCCACATAATGTTCATCAGTTATTGGCCAGAAACCTACTAACTTGTGGATGAAACTCATGCCAAAGTTAGTAGAAATAAACCAATTTTAAATCTGTGGTAAAATAAACAACCCTGTGCCGTCACAGTAAAATACCATTATTTAGGTCCGAATAACATGATTCCTGGGCAAAAATTTCACCCTTCTGTTAGTGTCATGTAGCCAGGATTTATAAACCAATTTTATTTAAGAAAAGAAAGGATTCAACAGAAGTTCTTCTTTGCAATGTAACCACCTTCTTGGTACAGCAAACTGCTCTGTCTAGCAAAATTCCAATCACATTAGAAGGCAGGAGCCTGATTTGTCATTGGGATTGTATACATATGTACACACACGGCATAACACACGCACAAACTGGAAGCATTAAAGTGTTATTTAAAAGTAAAAACATAATTGTTTGGCAGGTTTACAATCCTCTGCCCCAGAAAACACATTCAACTACTTTGTATTGCTTTTATAATATTCTTAGCAGACATCTGAATTTTACAGATTTGTAATTTTAGATGTGGGTAAGTTGTGATTTTTGCTAAAACTTTTAAAACTTTTTAAAAAGTTGATTTATTAATCGTCGCAGGCTCTCATGATGAAGGATGGAGTATACATTGAATTAACAACTTCAACAAGCTTTTCATTTTATTATTACTATGTCTGGTGCGGTAATAGAATGAAGAAGTGTCTGGATCATTGACATTGCAATTCCAGAGGATGCCAGAGTTGAAAATAAAGAACTGGAAAAATTTCACAAAGCACAGAAACCTAGCAATTGAAACATCTCACTTGTAGATGAAACACATTTCAGTGGTCCCCATAGTCATCGGGGCTTTGGGAACCATATCAAGAAATTTCACATAGTATTACGTATAAGCAGTTGCAGATCTCAGAAACAACACCATGAGAGCTACAAAAATGGCAATATTAGGAAGAGCCCAATTATTGTGCCAATATTTGATAGATTTTTGATTAAAACTTGCATACGTTATACATTTTTATAATTCTGACTATTACTTGTGTTTTTGAATAATAATTATAATTATAGTGATTTGCTACATTGATAAAGTTTGGAGAATCTGCTTTGTTTTGAATGTGATTTTCACTTTTATGCAGCTTTAAAGACAACAAGAACTCTGATCATAAAAAGGGAATATAAACTAGCTGCCATCCCAGTTTCCTCTCTGTCCTGTTCATTTCACTCCTACTCCAAAAGAATACTGAATCTAGAGTCTTCCTGAGTTCCACATCCAACATAAGGTGGGGAGATGGAGTGGGTAGAGTAATGATGAGTTGCAACACAGTGCAAAGGATTTTAAAGCTCATTGTTTGTCTGAGTAAATATATCACACCAACAGCCCCCTAACAAAAATTAATGTAAACAAATGCTTATTGACTTAAGCAGATAAATGCAACCATCTTGTTTGGAACCTGGTTCTATATTTTCACCAGTCGTTCTTCGAGCTACGATCTGCTTTGCAGACTGGAAAATTAATTTAAAAATATCTTCCTCTTGTGTTTCGGAGCTTGTCATCACTCCCTTCCTAACTGCAAACTTAGACAGGGTCTGTTGACAAGACTGAAGCCAAAATGGGGCCACTAAAAAGGAAGAAAAAAGGTGGTGTCAGCATTCTTATGGAAATCTTCAGGTTCGTAGTGGTTAAAAGAAAATTAAAAATAAAGTATAAAGCAGGAAAAAATGAAAATAAAAACCCTGCAAGAACTGAGCCCATGCAACAGCTGAAGAATGCTGCATCAGTTATAAAAGAAAAAAAAGAGGAGAGGAGAAGGAAATGGAATGGGTTACCCTAAAGGAGTCCGTAGCTCTTATCCAGCACGCTGAATAAAAGCACTCCTATTAGTGTGTGAAGGTATACTGCAACATTTTGTTGCAGGTCTCCCTTATGTATAATGGTATGAACTTAGGGGCCCCATGCCTCTCAGTAAGGCAGAAGGGCTCAGGAAAATATTAGTCTTCGAAAAAGCCAGACCAACATTGCTGTAAAAGTCTGACGGGGATGGGACAGCCTCGTTGCTTTGTAGGAGCTGAGAAATATTGAAGGCAATTCAGGACCAGCAGATGAAAAGAGAAAGCAAGAGGGGGAAATGGCTTGCTTAAGCCCTTAATAAAATACCTTAATAAAATACCAGGGGTGTATTTCTGTTAAAGTCACCTTCTCCTATTTAATTATTCCCCACGCCTGCAGCCTAATATGCTAGAGCTCTCATCCTAGTTCTGGAGCCTAGTTCATCGAGATTTGGGAGTTGCAGCGACAGAGGGAGGGTTACCCACCTTTTTGTTTCCTTTCTCATATAATCTCTCCACAACCTCCTATTTCTTAATACATGTGAAACATCTCAAAACATCCACAAGTCAACCCTCCACCATAGCTGGACCGGAGCTGAAAGTTACTTCCCATTCCATATTCCGTCTTGTTTTGACCCTTTCTTCATCAGAACTCAGATTCATGCATGCATGCAGGTGATGGCTGCCCATGCATTTCTTATTTCATTTCTTGTTATGTAAATATGGCTCAGCATTTTAATGCAATAAAAGGGGTTCTGTTCCCTCAGTGCTAAATAATCTTCCTTGAGAAACAAGGGACATGCACCAGTATTTTACTTACTAGCTCTGAATCTGAAATGCCATCATCTCAACACTGAGGTTGAAAGCCGTTTAGTATTTACATCTTGTTGTGCAGGTAAGGGAAAAGAACCCCTGATTCAATCTTAAGTAGAATGCATGTCACCACAGCTGATGGTTATATAGTATTCTTGGTCCTTTCCCCCCACTCTTTTCTTTTTACATTTTCCTGCTCACAGTCTTACCGGAAGGGAGGCTCTCCTTTCATCAAAAGATCTTGCTTGATGTTTCTTGTGTGCTCTACTCTCTTGTCCATGTTCATCTGTCACACTGTGTCCCCAGAAACTGCTCATCCATTTTGCAAAGGAGACATCATCATCCTCTTCATAGTCCATGTACAAACGGGAAATATGTACGTGAAACAGCCCTGCTGACTTAGGGAGCCACCCAGCAAGGAAGGATTATAGTGCTGTAATTTCAAACTACCTCTTCAAAGGAGAAAGCCCTACAACACACAGAAGGGCAACCCAATGTATGTCTTGGCCCAGGGTTGCCCTTGGTCTTCTCTATATATCTGCAAACCAAACCCTGATGATCTATTTTAAAAGTGTTGACTTGCTTCTAACCTTTCCATTATAGAAAATCCCAATGTAACATACCCTGCAGGCTGGCAAGTGTACTGGGAGGCCTTACTCATGTTCTAGCTGCTGAGTGCACAAACTGTCAATACCAATGGAAAGCTGTCCATAATAACATGCCTGGAAGGCTCAGCCTTTGATTTGGTTCCAGCATGCAATTTCGGGAAGCAGAACTGATGTATTGACCATGTTCAGGAACTAGCACAACATGGATCTTAACTTGCTCTAGGAATTAAATAACTTTTCCACCTTCAGTACTGGAAGTGCACACTCTACGTTTACAAAAAGGCTTTCCTGGGAAAATTCTATTGCCACAGTTGACCAACACGAGTCTTGTGAGAAACATCAACACCAACTTGCCTGCTACATGTGATGGGGTCTTGTTATAATGTACATGTCCCAAACATGTCCCAAATGGAGCTTGGAAAAATGACATTTGTAGACATAAATCCTCAGCCAACATGGCCAAATAATAATTATTTTTTGAAGTTCAAGTCCCAAAGTGCATTACTTGATTTTTATAAATGCTAATTCCACAAATATATCTGCAGATTAATCTAGAAACATATCCATATCAGAGCTGCTTCATGAGATCAGGTCAATATTGCTGCTTTACAATAATCTTCAGAGCAACCTCGTTCTTGTTGATGGAGTGGCTTCTTGGAGCATCGATCACTTTTGACAGCCATGGATCCCCATCTGAAATACACCTTCTGACTCAAAATATTTAGAAGTGACATTTGGAATTAAAAAGTTAAATAAAATGCTGTTGTGCTTGCTGGCAAATTTATGGGGAACATCTATGGAAAATACAAACATTGGAATTCTTTGATTTAGAATGATGCAGAGAGTATCTACACTACACAACTGGAAAAGTTTGGAACTACTTGACTTGCCCTAGCTCTGTCCTTCAGCCGCATGGAATCCTGGAGTTTGTTGTTTTGTGAGGCAGTCAGCAATCTTGCTAGAGAGCTCTAGTGTACTCTCCAGATTATTGCTCTGGAGTTCTCTATAAGAGGAATCTACATACTTCACCAAAGAAATCCAAGCATTGTGACTGTTTTATAAATATAGCTTGTATTGAATTTAATGTCTTTCCCTGGCCATGAACTGATATAATAAACTAACTGAACTGAATTGGATTCCATAGGGCAGATCCAGGATAACTGAAGTGGTATCAAAGTGCTATAAATGTATAACTTGTCTAAAATCATGAGGATACAAAAGCCAACTGAAACAATTCTTATGTCTCCTCCTGACTCTCAACATGTATGTCATACCCTGCAGAGACTTGGGAAGACAGCTCTAAAGCCTGGGGGTAGCCAGCAGAAAAAAATATTTTTCAAATATATTCAAGCTGGATAACTTTAATGATTGACACTTTTAGAAAGGCAATTCCAGGTTACCTCAATGGGTGTGAGGGCTCTTTTTGCATTTTCCTGCTCACAGTCTTACTGGAAGGGAGGCTCTCCTTTCATCAAAAGATCTTGCCTGATGTTTCCTGTGCTCTATTCTTTTGTCCATGTTCATCTGTCACACAGAAACTGCTCATCCATTTTGCAAAGGAGACATCATCATCCTCTTCATACTAGCTGGATTCCGAAGGGGCAGAGGTACTAGAGACCAAATTGCTAACATGTGCTGGATTATGGAGAAAGCCAGAGAGTTCCAGAAAAATATCTACTTCTGCTTCATTGACTATGGAAAAGCCTTTGACTGTGTGGACCACAGAAAACTATGGCAAATCCTTAAAGATATGGGAGTGCCTGACCTCCTTATCTATCTCCTGATAAACCTATGTGTGGGACAGGAAGCAACAGTTAGAAATGGATATGGAACAGCTGATTGGTTCAAAATTGGGAAAGGAGTACAACAAGGCTGTATATTGTCCCCCGGCTTATTTAACTTATGTGCAGAATACATCATGCGGAAAGCTGGACTGGAGGAATCCCAAGCCAGAATTAAGATTGCTGGAAGAAATATCAACAACCCTCAATATGCAGATGATACCACTCTGATGGCAGGAAGTGAAGAGGAATTAAAGAACCTCTTAATGAGGGTGAAAGAGGAGAGTGCAAAAATGGTCTGAAGCTCAAAATTAAAAAAAACCCAACAACCTAAGATCATGGCTGACCTCTGAAGAATTGATGCTTTTGAATTGTGGTGCTGGAGGAGACTCTTGAGAGTCCCCTGGAGTGCAAAGAGAACAAAACTATCCATTTTGAAGGAAATCATGCCTGAGTGCTCACTGGAAGGACAGATCCTGAAGCTGAGGCTCCAATACTTTGGCCATCTCATGAGAAGAGAAGACTCCGTGGAAAAGCCCCTGATGTTAGGAAAGTGTGAAGGCAAGAGGAGAAGAGGACAACAGAGGATGAGATGGTTGGACAGTGTCATTGAAGCTACCAACATGAATTTCACCAAACTCTGGGAAGCAATTGAAGACAGGAAGGCCTGGCGTGCTCTGGTCACAAAGAGTCAGACATGACTTAACGACTAAACAACAACAGTCCTTCCATATAATCCCCTCTATCTTTTTGTCACAATTTATTTAGTTTGTAGATTATATTTTTCTGATTATCATTAGATTTATGGTAATCAGAATAATACTGTACAATCAAAAGAAGCCTTAAGCAATTATAACCTTGATGAATGTCCAAAATAGCCTTAAATTTGACAAGAAAAATATAAATGACTGTGAAATGAAGGCCTTTTATTTGTAGAGTTAAGCCAGCATAAATCATGTTAGTTGTTGTCCATGGTGCTGTCTACCATTTCCTCTTGCCTCGTCTCCTTGTGTAAACGAGCCATTCATAGAAGGTTTCTTCAGTCTGAAAAGCAGGTTTGTCTCCTTTGAGGGCAAACTTGGGAGTGTTTCTCCATCAGAATCAAGAGGAAAAAATGTTTAGTAGAACACCCAGACATCTTCTTCTCACTGTATTTTTTATGCTTATAAGATTTTTGCTTGTAAAAGCAACCCTTGATGGTTATAAATATGTTATTGATTTTATCTACCTGTTTTTAATATAATATTGGTTTCATTCTTTTTTATACTTACTGTTTTTACCTTGTTAACATCATCTTTTAAATGATGTAAGCTGCCTCAGTTGGGTCATTTTTAAGGAGAAAAGTGAGATAATATTATTGTAAATAAAAAATAAACAAGTTTTTGTAGTTACAGTTTCCTTTTATATGAAATATAGATTAAATAAAAGCATGTAAAATAGTGTGAGCCTGCTGACTCAAGAGAGGGGCCATTTTGCTGGATGCTCCGAGTCTATGAGACTCTCTCCCATGTAAGAGTCCTTCAGTTGGTAGGCAAAACCCTTCCTTTTCAAGCAAGCCGCCCAGAGTGGTAGAATATACCAGATGGGCGGGATATAAATCTAAACAAACAAACAAACAAACAAACAAACTGGACACCAAGGTGAGAAATGAAATTAAGGAGGGTGTGTATGTGTTTAGCATAATTTACTGTTTTTTGATGAGCTTTTAATTGGTTTATTACTGTTTTAAAATAAGGCAAAGTAATATTGTTATATATTTAATTGTTTCTAGTATTATAATTTACTAAGATTTTAGTTCTTTATGATTTTTAATTACAGTATTTCTAAGTCATCTTGGGTCCCTTTCTGTGATTAAGGAGAGACGGAAAGAAATAAAGCATGTAAGCATATAAATACATTGATCACCATCATCTTGCTGTCATAATGATCAGTGAGAGGATCAGAGAGTGAAATTCAGCTTAAACGATGCCCTCCGCCTTGAAATCAGATAGAAGAACAATACTATATCTAAGAACAGCTGTGTGAATCTGTATATATATCCTGAACCTGTATACAGTATTAAGAAACCTCTTCTGAATACTGTATATGCTAGAAAATACAACTCTGCAGTGATCTCAATTAAAGAAACCTCTGGGTAAACGCTTGCACTCCTGGAGATCGCTCCAGTCACAGGATTTCAGTTGAGCATGAAACAGTGTTTTCCGACTGACTTTCATTGGTAAATACTATCAAAAAGTTCTAGGGGAGGAGTAGTGAAGAATGAAATAAGTTCAAATACTGCTTAAAAACCCAGAGATTTCTCTTCTTGTTGTTCTTAGGAAAGCTTCACAGATGCATATGCAACAGCAGATTGTTGTCTTCCACCATTAAGACCACCAGGGAAGCCACCATCCGTGTTCAATGTGCACCTCCCACCGGTAAAAACACAAGCCAGGCAAACATCAGTAGCACCTTCATCAAGCACAGCAAGTCCTTCCTCTCACCCGGTGCGAGCCACAAACAAACACGTGCTATCTTCTTCCCCAGTGCCAAACCCTGTTTTCCTCCCTCCGTTGAATATTCAAGGCAAGAAAACAGGAGGAAAATGCAATTCTCTTCCACCACTGAACGCTGCAGTCAGACAAGCTGAAGCCATACAGGAAGTGTTTTATTTGCAGGTGAGCAATCCATGCACAGAAAAGTGACTTAAAATATGTGTTCTCTAAGGTTTTCACGGCCAGGATCTGATGGTTGTTGTGGGTTTTTCAGGCTCTTTGGCCATGTTCTGAAGGCTGTTCTTCCTGACGTTTCGCCAGTCTCTGTGGCCGGCATCTTCAGAGGACTGGAGTAGGAACTCTGTCCATGCTCTGTCTTAAAATAGCCAGGCTTGTTTGTTTGTTTTGGTTCAGATAAACAGCAAGCCCACCCAACATCCCCATTGTTCATACTCTGAATAAGAAACAAACAAACAGGGTGCTGTGTTTTTTCAATAATCAAAACAGAACATGGAGAACAGACACTGGTCATTCTCACACTGCTTCCTGCTACAGATCTGTATCTTTATGGTTTATACCGTTTATTTTATTCTTTATTATACTGTTCATACTGCAACTTATTGCATGCCCCTTGCCCTTTAGTTGTCTTCTTGCCCCTCTCCATCTTCCGTTTTGCACATGCTACATGGCACACTCACTTCCTTTATAAGGAAGGCTGGGGGGTATGTGTGCCGTAGTACCAAATGTCAAATTGATTTGATTTTATGTTTCTCATCATAGTAGCTTGCTCCCTTTTCATCATGTCCTCATACTGCCAGGAATGTTACACAGTGAGCCAACGACAAGGAGGCCAGAACCTGGCCTAGAGTGGTTCGTCTTGTCTGGATTGAGTTTCAATTTATTAACCCTCATCCAGTCCATTATCAGGTCCAGACACGAGTTCAGCACAGAAACCGCCTCACCTGGATTGGTGGAAAACGAGAGGTAGAGCTGAGTGTCGTCAGCATATTGCTGACTCCTCAGCCCAAACCTCCTGATGACCTCTCCCAGCGGTTTCATGTAGATGTTAAACAGCATGGGGGACAGTATCGAGCCCTGAGGAACCCCATGACAATTAGGGACTCGAGCCACGTGCTTGGGGTCAGCAGTGGCTATAAGATTGTTTTACCAACATGTCATGCCAGCATGTGCAGTCAATGCAAAGGAGAGAGAATAATGGTAGAGTTATACTGAAGACATATGAATATACTCAGTGTAGGTAGGAAGTGGCAAAATTTAGATTTGGTGCAATGGAAGTAAAATCTGATTGCAGAGTGGGGGAAACGACCAGCCTGATCAGAAGTATGAATGATACTCATCAGAGGCAATCATGAAGCACGCCATCACACATCTAAAAAAATACCCACTATGCCTAAAATCATAGTAAAGTAGCTCATTGTGCTGCTTCTTGTCAGTTTAAAATGGGGTGTGAACAAGCTGTAGTTCACAGCGGTTTACGGCAACTATTGGCATAAGTCATGTGCTTACCAATGGGAAACATATATTCTGTAAAAGGGAACAATAATAAACTTCTAACTGCTTTCCCTCAGTCCATACAGTATTTTACAATACTGTAATTTATTCAGTCTACTGTATCCTTAAGTATATGTGGCATACAGGTATTTGGAGTTGCCTGATGTATTATAATATATACTGTACAGATAATACTGCATACAAAACATTTTGTAAAAAATATGACCAACTAACTCTCAAATTGCAACCATATTTAAAAACCGAGGCTTGTGGGAATAGCTTTCTAGGGACATTCTTGCGTGCAGGGGGAAATCTCTTGAAATCTATTGGGACCTCCTATTTGTCCACCACATGAATATACTCCCACAACTTTGCCTGAATAGGTAGTAAATACAGTAATAAGATTTTATTTCCTATTTTTTCAAAAACTGGCCATTTGTACATGCGCAGTATACAAATGTCTGTCTCTATCTGGATGCATGTTGCCCGTGTTGTTATCGTTACGGTTTAGGTTCGCTCTGATCCAGTTCGAAAGCATCGGAGTTCGTTGCGCATCCCACGAGGCAACTCGGCCGGCTTCGCTCACGCCGTGTTCCGCCAGCGGGTGGCACCGGCGTCTTCCCGAAGGCCACGGCTGCGGCCGGCTCCCTTGGCCAATAGGTGGCGCTGCAGTTTAAGGACTCGCTCTCAGGAGGGTACTCGGTGGGCGGAAGCTGTCTGAGGTCGCCTTCCCGTTAGGCTTTGGGTTTCCGCTGACCCCTCGCTCGCCTGGGCTGGGAAGTCCGCTGGTGGTGCCTGGTGAGGCGAACAGGGGGGAGATCATGGCAGCCTCGAAGCCCGTGGAGGCTTCTGCCGGTGGGGGCGGGACGGGCTCGGGCATCCCTCGCTGGCAGCTGGCCCTGGCCTTGGGGGCGCCGCTGCTGATCGGCGCCGGAGCGCTTTACCTGTGGGGCCGGCGGCGGCGAGCGACGCGGGGCGGCGGCAAAGGCGCGAGTGAAAGGAAGACCCCCGAAGGAAGGGCCAGCCCGGGACCCACCGATCTCCCCGGGGGAGGCCAGCCCAATGGCCCCGGCGGGGACGAGATGGTGAGAAGAGGAACCGGGAAACCCCTCCTCGGGGCTCTGGGAAAGGCGGGAGGGGGAGGGCAAACGCGGCCGCCAGGCGGAGCCCGGAA